CCCCCAATGCCATTTTTGGAGTTATTACTTAATATACACATATTATGATCTCAAGTACTTGCTATAGTTATCTATAATTAAATTTGTTAATAAATATTCATGTCTTATTTAGTAGTATTTATTTTATAATAATAATTTGAAATTCTGTGCCTATGCTTTCGAAATAATTACAGATAAAGTGTTACAGTATTGTACTGATAATTTAAAATAAATGTTTTGATGAATGAAACCTCTTGAAGTATTGATAAAAAATTAATTTATATGACTAGAGCCAATAACAAAAATGTTCAAACTTCTATAATTATTAATTATCTGCTAGTATTTCTTTTCATAATAAGCAATTTGTAAATGTAATTTCTAAATTATTATAGATATTAGTGAAAGATAGTTAGTAATAGGAAATATAATAAACTTTTTACGTATAATTTTGTGTTTGTGTGTGTGTGTAAAGAAAATTTTAAAAAATTACATTTTAAATTGGTTAATTTTATTATGAAGTTAATCGAATAAAATACAAAAATTATTGCGTGGTTGAACCATTCTAAGATAAATCTTGTAAGATGGAAGGAATTCTAGAGTTTTTGCACATTAGCGTATGAAAGTTAAAAATCAATAGATGAATTTACATAATCGTCGTATGGTAAGCGGATGAAAGGAAGAGAGCGTAGAAGAATTTATGATATTTCAATAACCCGTTTATTTGCGCTTGTATTTCTTAATTTGATTATTGGTGATTTTTATGTAAATTAATGAAAAATAGATGTTAAGATAATAATGTGAAATATGTTTATGATGTATCAAGTAACCGTGGAAGGTGTAGTTCCCATTGTAAATTTGCACATTATTGTAAAAGATGTGCGAGGCGATGTAATATTACTCGATGATTGTAACTAGGATAATCAATGATGTATAATATATTATTTTCTAAGCAGCTTCGACACTACGTGATTCAGGCGAACTTCGTGGCTTATCTAAAGACAGGAAATCTCCATCTCGCAGCATCCGTCCATTGAATTGAATCCGATATTTTAGGTCCGTTGGCCGCGAAAGCTCGTCGACTTCGTTTTATCGTGGCCTGTAAAATTAGCTCAAAGAAAAAGATCTCTCGCAATGGCTAAGCCGACGGGAATTTGAAAATCCAGGTGGTTCTTTAGCGAAAGAGAGACCGATGAAGAAGAGTCACGGCGCTCGTACGAGTGGTCGGCCAAGTTCACGCGGTCCTGTAATACGCACAGCGTGGGGCGCGCGGGTGGCAGGGCGGGACGAAGAAGTCTCGTTTAGTCGAGTCTCTTTTTTAAAAAGGTATTGGAAAGTGGCGGTGCGCCTGCGCCACTGTCGGTGGGAATGTTTCCCGTTCCTCGTCGTGCAGCCGGGGGCCGCGGCGTTTACAGTCTGCCGAAGGCGAAGCCACGTGTTGGAAACCGGTGATCGCGCGCTCGTGTTCACCCCCAAAGAGGCTGTGCGCGTTCCCTCGCGATGTGCCATTGGGCTTCGTCCACTAGAGGTTCCTCGGCGATACTTTATTGAGCTCGTGAGGAGAAGCGACTCCCTTGACGAAAAATGGCGGTTCTTATGGTGAGTTGCGTGTCACATGGAAATATAATGTCGATTATTTGACATGGAGCGCGCGCGAGCGAGTGCGCTGGCGCTTCTTACCATATGCGATGGCGCCTCGACGATCTCATTCGCACCCACTAAATTTAATTCCAACGGTGCTAGTATTTATAGGAACATTTCCTAATTACTTTTAACTTCCAAGCTCTAATCTTAAAATTATTTAATTGCTACACGAACAGGCTTCTTTGTATAAGGAGATACAATGTCGGCTTTCTAACTTGCGATTGCTCTCGCTGTTCACTGTACGATAGCTTGGTCGATTCATTTTCATAGAGTCGATTTTATGTATTCGAAGAGAGACATGCGGTTGACTTTCCAATTTATACTCAATCAAATGTTATCTCTTGTTGGCGTTACTCGTAATTCGTTAACAAATGCATGAAATTTAGTTTACTTCAAATCATTAGCAAAGGAAATAATCCACCATATCTATGAGTAATAATTATCAATTTATTTAACGTATTTGGACTTTATAGTGATAAAATTTTTTTTTTATTCAGTACATTGTAGAAGTATTCTTAGGCAATCTGTATGAACTCGTACGATCAAAAGTATAGTTAGTTCCACCTGTGTCAACAGAATGTTCATTGATAAAAAAAAACTAAGAACATAAATTGGACATAAGTTTATCAAATGAAATATTGTGAATTAAAAGTAAAATATCGTAGTTATTGTATAGATCAAAAATTTTAAACACTCAAATATATTTTCATTTTTTTTTTATGCCATAAATTTGTTTGATGTTTTTACAATTATTATTATACTTATGGTTAGTTAAATACATTTTGAGATTTTACATTAATTTACGGGCTTCCCACAAATCTATTCATTTTAATATTTTTTTCAAACATGTTATAATTTAGGTAGTATTACATTTACACTTCAGAATATTTTTCTATATTATATTATACTTAAACGCGATTGTATTATCATATTTAAAAACGTATATTTTGAAAAAGGAAGTAAACAAATAATGTATTACTTATACGTACAAATAAATATTTTTGTACAATTTTTCAAACATCTTGAAAAGAATAAATAATTGCTCGAGAGAATAATAGACTATTATCAATCATGAGTTTATAATAAAATTATAAAATTACAAAGGAAAATTATAAATTAAATTAACAGTATATAAAATTTATTTAATAAATTTAAATAAAAATGACTTGTGTCTTTAATTCTTAAGAAGTGTTTTTAGAATTTTTTTAATACATATTTTAATTTAAAAAATTTTCCTTTATGTAATTTTAAACGAAAATTCGAAAATAAAAATACCTTGATTTTTAATGCTTAAAGATAGTTAGATTTTCGGCTATAATAAAATATCTAAGCTCGGTCTGTAATATAGATTTATGATTCTGTGAATTTATTATTTCATTTTTCTTTTCCTTCGTTGCGATAAGAGGAATAGTTAAAAAAAACTTTACGCTACAAAATATTCTTATTGTTATAATTTTCCAATAATACTTTACGAGGATTATGTTTAACCTTCGATTAAAAATGAAAACGAACATGGGCTTAGTATTTTTGTTTGTTCACATTTTTTTTTTTATTGAATTAGTTAACAGCTACCTAAAAATATTATTTTAGATGGATATGTAAATATATAAAAATATCTTGTACATAACATAACGACATATTAAGTATATTAAACGCATTTGTATTGTAAGCTACAGTATTTATAATTATGATTTGCAGTAAGATAAAATCTCTTATGATAAAGTCACATTAAGTATAGTAATATTGTAGTAATTCTTGAATTATTCTATATATTACAATTCTGTGAATTTCAAGAATTTTGAAAAAGAAATTTACTTTATTAAAGTAAAATTAAATGAATAACTACGAAAATATTTCTGAAAAAGTAGTAACAGTCCTCTCAATTGAAGATCAGCAATGGTTAAACATTGCTTTACCAGCAAACATTCTTTAAATGAATTCGATTTTATAATATGTAACACCTGATTGCTGATGATCGCATTTATGATTATAATTTATGTAATGATTTTAATATGATGAAAATTTATCCGGGTTTGGCTATAAATTTAATAAAATAATAATTTTCGTTAAACCTTATTTTAATCTCAACAAATATATAACATCATTTTAGATAATTAGTTTAAAAATCCTTGATAAAAGTAGTAAAATAAAGAGAAGCAAATAGAATAATTTATAGAGTAACTTTTGTTATCAGAATGAGTTGCATTCATTTTTAGTAAAACGCGGCTCTATTATAAAATGAAAATTTCAAATATATAGTGTATTTCATAAACATTATTGTCCGTCGACTTTATTGCAACGGTGTTTATGTAATATTTAGACATTTTTGTCTTTAAACAAAATTTATAATATACTTTTAGATAATTAAAGAAAAGAAAATTTTAATTCTGGTAAGCTCCGTCTGAATTTACAAGATTATATTTATAAAAGATTTAAATATTAAAATTTTGTAACGATTATAGAACAATTTTAAATTCAAATACTGAAGTTTAATTCAGGTTAGCTGTGATTAGTTTTTGTTTTTCCATATTAGATTTATAATACATAATTTATAATATAAATAAAAACAACAACAAAATTAAGTCAAGATTATATGTAATGTTTTATACTATTTAGTTTATTTATGTTAATGTAAATTTTAATAATTCATTGTTTAATATTTAATATATAACTTATATTATAGAGTTTTTGGCTATTAGCTGATTTGACTAACGGATTCAATCGTGGACATCTACCATGTCGTTCTGTCAGGTGCGGCTAGTGAAGTGGAGTTTTCCAGTTTGCGCTCTAATTCTTGGGCTTTTATGGTACAAACGTCGACGTGTGGATCGAGTTGATCCAGGTGGATCGTCCAAATCGAACGGTGACACCAGTCTATCCAACGGTAGCAGCCTCAAAGCTGCCCAAAACGGAAATTTATGTGATTCTGGCATACAGACCGATGACTCTTTTTCTTTTAATACAACAACAGCCAGTACGCCAGTAGAAGAAATTATTAGGTACGTTCAACGATATACTTGAACCGTTTATTGCGCAATCGTTTTCAATATATTCAATAAATAACAATTAATGGTGCTAAACATGCATACAACTAATGCAATACATTCAATGTTGTAAAAATATATATATAAAGCATAAACTATTTGCCTAAGTACGTAGATTTTTTTAAGTATTATATTTGTAATATCTTTAATTTTCAGCCCGAGGAAAGTTAGCGAAAGCTTAGATATACCTAATAGAAAGTCAAACTCACAGTCGTTGTCTTTGCTTTCTTGTAAATCAATTGAATTCAGCAATACGCCTTGGTACGACGACGTAGAGAACACACCCGAGATGAAGGAGATCCAATTGGTTAGTAATCCGACCAACAGTGGCTTAGATTTTATGACCAAGAATAAGCCCGATGAACTGAAAAATAGTAAAAATTCGAGCATAATAGAGAACATGATTGAAGAGGAGGCAAAAATCGTCGTAGCTAAAAGCGAAGTTACCGAACAGATGAACATCTCGCAAAGCGAGTTTAAGAACTGCAAAAAATCGGTAACCGCCGATGATCAGCAATCGAGTGGAGATGAGAAGAAACAGAGGCAGGTCCTCTCAGAAAGAGATTCAGCTAATCACAGTCCAGTGTCGGGTGTCCTCGAAGGTAGTGTCACCGATGAAGCCAGAAGTGAAGGGAGTACGGATAGTGGAAAAGGTAAGGAGAGAGATGCGTTTTGTTCGCCTTAGTGGAAAGTCGAGTGATATTAAGGGATAAATTGATGTGGTTTGCAGGTAGGGTTTTGAGAATCGAATTGAACGTTTTCCAAGATTTTTGTAAAATGCAATTTATAATGGCATTTGCATACACGTTTGGAGATGAGAGATAAATTATACATTTATCTCTAAGTATAACGAATAAAAATATTTGTATTGAAATATTTAAAAACATTTTACTTACGATGTTTATTCTATATAAGTTATATAGCAATATCCATTATATTGTTGTATTAGTATTATTTTTTATATTATATGTTGATTATTTTATCGAACTTTGGTTAAAAGTAATATTTCCTTACATAAGCCTAAGTATTTTAAAAAGGCTTTTTTACTTAATATATATGTCATTTGATGTCTATATTAAATCTACCATTTTTATTACACATTGAAATGACGAAATATACACCTTTATATACAAGATAATTTTAAACTCTTACTAGTAATTAAATAATTTTACATATATTTTCGAATTATGCAAGTATTAGAGATTATGAGGGGAGGAGGGGGGGGGGGAATGAAGCTCTCAGTTATTTATTGAAAAAGGCGTTTTTAACGTTTTAATTTCTTAGCATTTGCAAGGAAATAAAATATTCTTATCTAATGATCATGTATTTGCATTTCAGGCGGTAGTATAAAAGGTCATCCAAAGGATAACAACAGAACAATTTATGAGTTCTTAGTTTCAATAAAACTCGTCGGCAAACTCATTGGCCGTGGGGGACAATTCTTCCAGCATATACGCAACAATGCTGACGTTGGTATCGTAGTAAAGCGTCACCCGAGTGAACGCGATTACAAGATCTGCAGCATCGATGGTACACCTGAGAATATAGCGACAGCCCTAGATATGATTCGCCAGTTATTTCCCGAAAAAACGACTCCTTTTCTTAGTCTCGAGCAGATAGCTTACGAGATTTTACCCGAAGAGATACCATGGGTGTCGGAACTCATGCAGTTATCATTGATTGAAGGAGTGAACAACGATGTAATCGTTAGTCACATTTATAAACCGAATCACTTGTTTATACAGTTGCCGACGCATCCGACGTATCCGTCATTAAGAATCTTAGACGATAAAATGACAGAGCTGTATGAGACAGTTGAGTCGCCACCTGTACCAGATGAGCTGAGAAGTAAGTTCATATATTTACTTTATATCGTTATTATATATGGAGTTAGGGGGATGCTTTATGAAATATAAATTTAGAGTCGATATAGCACGGTTTTTCACTATCTTCTTACGTTATATAATGCCATATAAAGTTTTTAAAAAAATTAAGATGATAAAACATACCGATTTAATACATATATTTCATTCTCTTTAATATTGCAGAAGGTATGATTGTTGTAGCAAAATGGTATAATAAATGGGTCAGGGTGTATATTGAAACTCCCGATCCGAAAGGCGAACAGTCACTGGTTCGTCTAGTTGATCATGGTGGCTATTGGATATTTAGTAATTCTAATATGAGGAAAATAAGGTCAGATTACCTTAGTTTACCGTTCCAAGCCATTGAAGTATTTTTAGCTAATGTACGGCCGAAAGATGGTAATATTCTTTGCGATATTGTAAATGCGAATCCAGATAAAAGCATTATAATTTCAATTAATATGTTTTTTTTTTTCCCCTTTCCCAGAAGAATGGAGTCAAGAAGCATATAATGTAGTAGGACAAATTTGTTCCCGTATCGTAGGTCAAGCACAAATCGTAGGCTACGTAGACTGCAGCACATTTATAAATTTGTACTTTAATATTCATAAGCATGGCGTAAGTATGAGATAATTTTATCTTACTATTTTATTTTAAATTTTCTCGAAAATCCGTTATCGTCAATATTTCCAATTATTCATATTATTTTTTGATTATTGTATAAATATAAATAAATTTTATGGCCTTTTATATATATATATATATATATATATATATATAGAGAGAGAGAGAGAGAGAGAGAGAGAGCGATACGCCCAATATAAATTTTCAACTATTTTATATAAAAGAGTTGCAATATTAAGTAAGCTTTTAAGTAAATTAATTTTTTATTTATAAATTGACGATAAATTGTATTTAAATGATGTTTCTTCATAAGAAAGTAGTGGACTGAGTATTTATTGACAGAAAGACAATATAAACTGATAATTATAATATAAAGGAATATTTTTATCATTAGTATGTATTTTTATTCCGAAAATTTAATTAAAATTTTGCTTTTAGGTCATATCTATAGCAGACGAACTTATAGCTCGAGGGATAGCAGAATCTATATCTTTAGATGAGGTATTCCCACAGGAAATACTACCGTCTGTGTGAATCTAAGTCTAAAGCTTAATTGTTGTCTCTATTTGCGGATCGAACATAAAAGTGAAGAGGTGTGGATATGTGATGAGAGCATGAGAGATTTACAAGTGAGGATTAACATTGTATGCTGACAAAAAACAATTATTTTGTGATTTATATTAGTGCAGTCTTTAGGTTTTTGCACTGCGCGTATTTTTTTTTAATTGAATTGAATCAATTCTTTTGCCATCGAATCGAATACTATCGTTTGCGATCTCGAAATTATTGCATTTCAAATTTATCGCAGTTTTGCTTTTTTTTTTTTTTTTTTTTTTTTTTTTTAATATAATACGTCATAATCTAATATAATTATTAGATTTTTTTCTATTTATACAAAATACATTGGAGTGTATATATGAATTGAGCAGAAGAAAAGAATGAAGGGGCCAAGATACTATTAAGTTAAGACCTGATAGAAACCTAATTTTGATGTGCTAACATTTTGAATTTATGCTTAATACGCATTTTTGTATATTGATTTTGTATGATAGCAAAATATTTTTATGAGTAATTTTGTTTATCAGAAAAGCTCATGTTATTTTCTCATATACTTTAGGAATTTAATCTATATTTGTATTAGAGACGATAGAAATTCGATTCAATTAATTTGAGATCACGTTAGAATTATTTACAATTATACTGTTCAATAGTTTATAATTTTAAGTTAAATTCATTGAATTTGTGCCTCTTGGCGTATAGAAATGAAAATCTGTAATGTTAGCTTGAATATGTGGAAACAAATTATATAAAGTAGTTTTTGAAGGTAAACGAGTAAAGCTTTTTCTTTTATATAAATATTATACGTATTAGTGTATAGAAAAATATTAGTATATTATAATTGAGTTTTTTATTAGTATCTTTTTGCAAAACCGAAGAATTTCACTTTTCCAGTATTTGATCAAATTTAATCTTTTAAATCGTCAACACTCATGTCATTAAAATGGCCCATCGTAACTTCTCGTGTTCGTGCCAAGATTTAGGTTAAAGATATTAACTAAAAGTCACTTGTTAAGTTACTGATACAAGTTTGTCACTCACACATTTATTGTTTCTTTTTACACTTATCCATAATACATTTGTGTGCCTCCAGGTTATTATTATAAAGTGTTATCTTTAAAATGCGTAACTAAATCAATTAAAGAATAAGAAAGTGTTACTGCCAATTATACATTTATCTTACATATAAACATGTAAATTCATTTCTAACTGATGAGAATTGATAGTGATTTTTATATGTCAAAATATATATCAAATTCTAATGGCTACTCATCATTACCTTTACTAAATTTTATCTAATTATTGTTTTGTACGATAAATTTTTTAAGTATTTTCAATTTAATCTTGTATTTCTAAATAATACAAATTTTATTATTAAAGCTAATATAAAAAATAGAATTATTTTAAATTCGATCAATAAATTATTTAACATTTTATCTATCATAATTAATTATGAGATAATTATTTTTCATAGTTAGCTATCAATTTTCATTAGGTAGCTAGTGATTATATTCTCTATAATAATATAGAAGTAGCAAGTGCTTTATATAGTCTTTGAGTAATTTTACAGATTAGTATACAGTCTCATTATTCTGCTAATGTCATTTACTTTTTCAGAAATATAATTGACATAAATTATAACATCATAGATTCAAAAATAAGGCAAATTCAAAATAAAAGTGAAAGAGAGCGATAGAGAGAGACAGACAGAGAGAGAGAGAGAGAGAGAGAGTGAGGGAGAGAGAGAGAGAGAGAGAGAGAGACATACAGATATACAGACAGAGAGAAAGATTGAGAGTATATAGAGATTAAGTTTTCGAAATTGATTAGTACTACAGCAAAGGGAGACAAAGTTATCTTGATTTGATATGGAGGTCACAGCTTTCATGCAACGAAGATTTATTAACTAAATTCGTTATTAAAAACAGGCTGATTAAAATTATACCTCATCATTGTAAATATTGTAACATTAATATCTCCGACTATTATATATTTATAATATACTTACAAATAATTATATCGGATAGTTACTAGCTCTGCGTTAATAGTGTAATGAGGTTTAATGTAGTTTATTTATATATTTTACGATCTTACATACAATGCGCGAGAGTATAGCTTGCAATAGAATATAGATTTTGTGAGCTGAAAAAATAGCAAAACTACTACAAAAATTAATTCGTTTTATTTGTGTAAATTTAAAAACATGTATTAGTATAAAAATATTCTAATACTATATATAAATAAAAATAATATATTTTAATCACTGTATGTTATTGGAGTTTTAAAATTTGGCTGCAAAATTGATTATAAGAATGTAATCATAGTGATAAATTAAATTTTATAATAATTAAAATTGAATTCATATTTTTTAAATATATTATTTAAATTTTCCTAGTGCTTTTATAACACTCAAATTAATACAAGTAATAATAAATAAATGAATAATATCTTTGAAGTAGTTTTGTAGTTTGGTCATACCAGAAAATAAAATTAGATAACGAATGGCTGATTGATGATGAATTTTGGATTATCGCATTTTTTAAATATGCATGTCCATATTGAACACGCTAAACAAATAGCTTTTGATTATGAATGTTTGAGAAAAATTTATAATGCTAGGGTGAAAGCTTGTAAGTCTTTATGACAAAGGAAACCATAATTTAAGGCTGAAATACAGTTGATAATAATTCCCATTGTCAAAATATTTTGTATTGAGGGTTTCATGATCATAAAGCTGGGGATCGACATAACGTGACGTTCTCTAAACATGTTACAAGCGTTTAGTTTTTGATACTGAAAAATAGGAGATCGAATATTTGTCTTTAATTATTTGATTACAATTAAAAAAGTTTATTATACATTGATGTTATGAAAAATAAAAATTAAGAGGAAAAAAATTAAGGTCCTACGAGGTTTTTATAAAATTATGTAACGTTTTTTTTATTGAATACATGAGATAATACTCAAATTGATTTGTTATTTTGTGAAAAAAAAAAGAAAAAAAAAGAAAGAAAGAAAAAGAACAATTTTGATTAATTTTCAAACCGATTTTTCATTCTTATCGCAGATCAGTTATAATAAAAAGGAACTAAAGTAAGAATGTTATTGTAAGAGCACAATTTTTACTATTGTAAATTTAAATTAAATTTATTTTATGATCGGTTTGTAAGAATTTTTTCAAATTTTGCTTTTCTTTGTTATTGAAAACGAACTAGACAGTACGAACGTAGATTATTAGAATGTTAAGAAAATATCTACAGAAATTCTCAACGATCATATAACTTTTGTAACTAATCTTAACTTTCTATTATTTTGAAATGTTAAAATTTCATACTTGAAAAAAGATTGTTGATGCGTACAAAAAAATTCGATAAACATATTTTTGGACGCATACATGCGATTTCGCGCGAAAACGTGTACGATTCTTGAGCCGAAAAGTCAAACAGCTACAGATTTTCTACTAATATTAAATACTCGAACAATATTTTGCTTTTCATAAATTATAAGAAAGACTTGTTATAATAATAATCGCTTAACAACAAACGGCAACAAAACTTTATCTCAAAAATTTTGTTATTGAAAACAGTTATTGTTTAAGAAAATTTGTTAATTATAAATAGCAGTTTGTCAGCACAAAAAAGGCACTTGATTAAAGTTAACTAAGTTTTCAATTTTTAAGTAACTTTTTGAGGATGTTTGTACTTGTATATATAAAAAAATCGTCGATCATAGTCCCCAGCTCAAAGCAGTTATAATTTTTTTCATTTAATATCGTATCCGAAGAATTTTTCAGTTTTGTATGGGTGTGTGTGCATATATGCATATATATATATATATATATATATATATATATATACTGCATGGTTGCATACATGCATACATATATAGTGTAATCTTTGGAATTTTCATTAAATTTACATTGTTTTAACTTAAATAAGTTTATAATTTATTTACTCATCCCTTGTTTCTTAATAACATGTGTATAAGTAAAATATTGTTATAAGAAAATACTATATATTTTTAATGTTTTTAAAAGTTAAATAATTAAAAATAACACAATATTTCGTAAATATATGTTAAATAAAATTTTTTATATAAAGGTTTGATTCAACATTTTATTTCTATTTTTTAATATATTATAAAAATATAATAAATATTATTATATAATTTTTTTTAGTTTTATTTTTTGTATTTTAAAAATCCTAATTTGTTCCCTAGTACTAAGGAATTTAATTTTTTGTGATTTACCAAGTAGGCATCGTTTTAATGAAAATAAATTGTTTGTCATGATTTGCATATGAAATAAATATATATTAATATTTATTGTATTTTATAATTTTATTAGATTTTTAGTTGTATATTACTTAATAAATATGAAAAATCGAGTTAATAAATGAATTTTGTCAATATTTATAATATAAGATAAATGCTTTAAGTTAATGCATAGAATATCGCACTGAAATAACATAATTGATAATGTTCTCCAATTTCAGATCATATTTTTAGAATTTATATATAGTTAAATTTAATTAACTAGATATTACAAACTTTTTATCAAATATATTTGCGATAACAATTGTAATGGCACTATTAAAATAATTATAAAAATGGCATCATTGATTAACAAAGTTTTTGAATTTTACTTTACTAAGTATGAAATGTGCGTTTCAATAAAGTATTCCACTAAACTATTCAATAAGTGCATGCAACAGAAAATTTCGTTATACAGAAGATGGGTGATCGAACCCACAACGATTATATGAAAAGTGTAAATTTCTAGGATATAGTTTATACTTGGTTCATAATCTTTCATTATTTTATTTATTTTTAAAATGTAATTGAAGATACAATTCAATTATTGTATTAATGTATTGCTACGTGGAGCTGGAAACAGTTTTCGGATAATAATATGTAAATAGTTTATTAAAACATATTATATAGCTTATGTTATTTGAATACACTTCATATACGATGTTAATGAAATGATTGCTCATTGTTCCAAAGTATTCTTAAAAAAATTGTTCACAAAATTGAATATTTTGATTAATTTAATTATTTATGGCAATGATAATGCACAATAATAATATTTTTGTTCTCACGAAGAACTATGGACTATAGTAGGCACTATACAATTAGAAAATAAATCATTGGATCACTTCTGCTTTTAACAATATCTTCAATTATTTTTTAAATACTTTATATGAAATTTTACAAAATTTATATTATATTATAGGCTATACATTCAATTTACAATTCTTTATAAAAGTTTTGGTGGAGGCAAATCTAATAGAATATGCTAGTCATGTGAATTAGCTGTCAAATGCAAATACTACGAAAACTTTATCATTACATTATCAGAGAGAAATAAGGGTTTATGCAGATACATACTAGAACTCTATTTATGTATGCGTTCATTCAATTAACTGTAACATCTTTACGTCAAAATTATGTTAGTTTTTATAAATTTTTTTTGCCAAGTTTATAATTATGCAAAGTATGTTTTAGATTGAAATATTAATTCAATGTATACGTTACGGGATAGAGTCAGTGTAAACATTACAAGCTTCAATAACAAATATGCACTTTTATATTAATAATTGTTGATAATTGTTTAATCCAAATATTACCAATAATTGATAATATTTATGATTTTTTAGTTTTGAATTAAACAAATTCAAATATGTTTTTGTAAGTAATTATTTCATCATTATAATATGTAATATATAATGAAGAATAATAACAAAAATGAATAATATATCTTATAATGTTGATAATTCTGTAGTTTCAACATTATCATAGATGATTACTTGTTATTACTTTAATTAATTGTTAAATACATATATATATATATTTTTTTTTTTTTTTTTGTAAAGTAGAATAATAAACAATATGTTTTTTTATAATTAATTTATTAGGTAATACGTTCAATTGTTAATTTTTTAATTTATGACTTTTTTCATAAATTTAATTTCACAAAATGATGATATAATAATTTAAAGTAATAATATTTATATTTGTAGTACCGAGACTGTGCCGATTTCAAATATCAGGAGAGTGAATTGTTCGCAATCCATTTTTTTTAGCAGATTTCTAAGCTGCTCCTTAAAATATGATTTGTAATCATATAATGATAACATAGATACCGCTAATTCTACATTACCAACTCGGAGTACGAGTGTGAGAATAACTTAATATCAATTTTGAAATAAAATCCTTCGTTAATAGACAAAGCAATTATATGAATTTTTAATCAATTTTACATTTTTCGCCTAAATTATACATAAGTTACAAATATATTTATATAAAAATTTATTTATTTATACGTAGAATCGAAAAAATTTTTCCAATGCACCACATACACAATAGGTCAAAGAGAAAAATTTCTTTATCAACTTATTTTTCAAAAAACGTATTCAAATAAAAACTAAATAAACTTTATATTACTAAGATTCGGGAAATTTTACAAAATTATATTTTAAATTTTACATATTTTACGTATAATGATAGTAGTAATAACAATAACAATAACAATAACAACAATAACAACAACAACAATAATAATAATAATAATTCTTTATTAAGAAATCTTCGTAAACTTGTTCAGTCCAAACTAAAAAATCATAAATATTATTAATTATTTGTAATATTTTAATTATTTTATAATTTTTAATGTTTAAAGATACATGTTGTTTTAATATCTAATTCTTCTATCGAATATAGAATGACAGTCACCTTTGCTAGGGATATATCAGACTCGACTAAATTTTTATTTTTAATTCGTTCAAGAATATTGCATTATATATATTGTTATTTTATGATATCCCATAAATAATTTGATTTTAATAAATATTATGTTTCAATAATTGTATATAATAATTTATTAATAATTCATGCATAAAGAATATAAAATGCATTTCTAAAATCACTTTATATAAGAATAATTTTTTATTAATTTTCATTGAAAATCTTTTTCAAGGTATCATTCGATACATTTATGCTCCATAACCGAAACAATTTAGTATTTAAAGTTATTCTATTTTGAATATATAATTAACATTATTTATAAATACATAAAAAATATTTAATTATAAATGCATTAGTGATTTATAATATAATTATAAATCAATGATGAATTATTGAAAATAAAAAATTATTTCATTAAGTTACATTGAAATTATATTTGATTCCAATATAGACGACATTTTATTGAATAAAATATTAAATATTGTAATTGGTACGAATCCATGAGGTATTTATATGTTCATATATTTATTAACACGAATAAACAATCATGATATTTTATTACGTGGGTACGTTAATTTTAATTATAAACTTTATTTATAAATAAACAATAGATTCCTCTATTTATTTATATGGAGTGAAAATTTTCAAAATGTGATTTAAGATCGAATTAAATATAATTTTTCATATGTTTGCTTAAAATTTGTTTTAACTATTTATTTGGATGGTTAGTTATATAATCATCGATTAGATAAACCATCACAATATTCTATATTTCTATCTTGAAATACATTTAATTACAATATATATATTTTTTACGATTACATTTCACGATATGAGAAGTTTCGGCGTGAATCAATGGCACATAATCACAACAGTCATCTTAATTAGAAAAAATGTTATTGACCTTACTTATGACTTTCTGAAAATCTTTTGAATGTACTATAAAAGTTTAAAATTTGTAAAAAAAAATTCTATCTCTATAAATACAAGGCTATTTTATTCATTTTTTTAAAAAGAAATATTAAAGAATCGCTTAAAGCTTGTAACTACGTTGTTTACCAAATTTTCAGTAATGATAAAAAACAATCAGTAACGGTTGACGGCCTATAATCTTAAGTAAGTCAAAAGTGTAAGCAACGTCATCTTAATATCGACATTATATTTCGATGATTCACTATGCCGGTACTCAAGTATTTGTACAAATACATACTTGGGCTAACGTCGACAGCATCGAATCGTTTGTATTATTGCTTTTAGCAGTAATCGAGCGGATGCTCGCAAGATGGTACCAAAATCTGGACACGAAGTTGTGACCGCCGATCAGGATGACGAGTCGATCAGCACCCAAAAGGAAAGCAAGGAAGGTGTAAGGGACTCGATGGTTGTTCGATGGCTAAATAAACAAGTCGACAAAATGGATAAGCATTGGACACGATTACCGAGTTTCGCTGGATCAGCCGCTGCCACCTGTGCTATTTTCTTGTTAGGACTCTGTTACCGAGGTATTTTTATCTCGTTTCAATGTTCTAAATCTCATTATGTTATGCACGGTTAATAAGATATGCTTACATAAAACAAAATCGAAGATTTACAAGAATCGAAGCGTTTACTGGCGAATTTTAGGGTATTTACTAATTATTATGAATATAATATTTCTACACCATAATCTCCCGTAAAATATAGTTATAATTATTATTGCTGTATACGACAATACTTAATAAAGAATTTTCCATATATTACGTAATATTTCATGTACATTAGCAGATACTTATAATTTTTTTAAAGTCATATTTGCTACAAACTTATAAATTCTTATCTGTCAATTTAAAATGTACGTGTACTCAAATGAATAATTGTGTCTTCTATTAAAAATTATTTTTTTATCCTTATAATTAAAAATAATTATATTTATTTATATCCATCCACGTTTATTGATCGTTATTTTTCTTTTGTCTATAAATTACTGTTTTAAAGTACTATATATTTGGAAGAATTTTTTGTTATTGTCTAAAATCAATAAATATTAGTGAGAAAAAAACATTAGATTTAGTTAAAATGTTCACATTACGTGTATAAACTACGTTAAAGAAATTATGTAAAAATACTTGTTCTTTTGAGATCCCATTTTCGCTCATCATTTAAGTTTCTGCTTTGATTTTTCAAAAAGATATTATCACCAATTTCCATTTTTATTGAATTTTATATTATTTTTAGTAATATTTTATATCCGCGTGTTATTATTGTCATAACGTAATAAAATTGTATTTTTATTTTAAAATTCTAGATACGAAATTTGCATTTACAATGCTTTAACCAAACTTAAATCAGTTACTCTCGTAAAACTGCAATTTTAAAATCCAACTATATCGCCGAGGTTAGTGAATTTTGAAAATATTTTAGTCTTTCGAGAAAATATAATTAAAAAAGGAATTAATCTTGCTAATGACTAAAATTGTTATTTAAGTTAAATTGAACAATAGTTTATTTTAATTTTTATACTAATGGCAGTTATTAATGAAAATTGGGTATTTTTATTTACTGTTAAACACTTTTATAGAAAAACTTTCTCTTGATAAAATGAATTTCATAAAAAAATTTTTATAATAACTTTTTTTATGAGTGTTTATGATTCCTTTGATTTGATAATATATAATGTATGTACAAATTTTAATGAAATTTCAAGACTAATAATAATCGATTGAAACATTTTTATTTTATATTAGATTGTACTCAATATTTATATTTATTTTAAGAACTGACGGTAAAAATTCTAAACTATTGTATAATAAGGAGAAAAAGGTTAATTTTAAGAATTGGACTTTGATAAATGAATTTTAAGGAATATGCTTATACATTAAATTATAGTGGTTAAGTGATGATATAATGAATATATAATGAATATTATATTCCTGAAACGTTGTGAGAATTATTTCTAATGTAGTCAAAAAGTTTTAGGCAAAATTTTTAAATTCATGATGATAAAAATTTTGAATCACGAATAAAGTGACAAATTTCTAGGTTGTTGGCTTCATAGGAAATGTTGTGACAAAAATGGAAGCATGTCGAGGAGAGACAATATAATCATTCTTCATAATTCAAAATCTGAAAACGACATTACGCAAAGTTTTAAATTGTTTTAAATTAAAATGTCCACTAAAATTGTTTGACATTTTAAGTATTTCTCTACTATTATTTATAATTATAATTATATTTATAATTATAACCATATAATCATAAAAATTGACTTTTAATTTACAATTTCCGAAGAATATAATTTTTTAGCTAAATATTTATTATATGTTTTTTAATTAATTTTTCGATGATAAAAGTTTTTTGATTTTCTGATCATAAAATGAGATGTATATTTTAAAATTATTTTCAAATAATCCACAAATACTAAATAAGAAAATACTCTGCTATTAAATACATGAGTATAAGATTTTATTTATTTAGAAAATAAAATTGCGTACAAAATAACGGTTTTTAGACTTAAAAGTATTTTGAACATTTATTCCCTTAAAAATTTATGATATTACGATTTTTCTATTACATATAAAGCATGTATTATCTGTCTTATTTAGAAACATATGTTCAATGTTAATAATGCAATATTTAAAATTTTGTGCTTATTTATAATTTGATCTTTGATTAAATTAAAAATTAATATTTTATTAATGCGCAATGCTTATTCGATTCATTATTATACATCGAATTAAAGTATAGAATAAAGTAGATTGAATTTAGATGTTTGAAAATAAAAATAATAAAATAACATAACCAAGAAACGGAAAAAAAATTAAAGGAAACAGTAAATAATTGAATATATAAAATATTAATTAAATACTATATTTTGTTTTTATGTAATTTAATTTTATCAATTTTATATGTATTTTTTTAATAATTCAATTGTTTCAATAATATATTAATAATACTTAAATAAGTCTGTTAATGGAATTTGCACTTAAAAACTTTACATTAAACTTGTTTTTGTAACCAATTATTTTCATGCTTGTTTTTGTTTTATAATTGAGATAGAATATTTTTAAAAAGAAAAATAAATTGTTTAAATTTAACAATGTTACGAAAATACTAGAATATTTCCTAATTTTTTCGAGGTAATTTATATTACGATGTTAATTTTTCTGTATATAAATACAAAATATATTTTTTGTACATTAAAATACTCATTTTCATTACCCGAAAATAAATACAAGTTTCTGGAACGGAATGTACGTTAAAATTTCATTTAAAATTTGAGTATAATGGCTTTTATTTTATTATTATTCGTGTAAAATATTTTCTTTATAATAGATGATATTAAAATTTTTATGACGTTTTACATTTTATTATAAATTATGTAAAGAAGAAGAGTGATAATCTTCTAAATATTTTATTATTGATTATTTATATTTTTAAATATGTATATAACGATGAATATATATAAATAATCAATAATAAAATATTTAGACATTATTTGAGAAATTAGAATAAGATTTTAGACCATAATATTATGTAAAAGTATATTTTTATAATAATAATAATAAATGTTTAATAAATATATTATAAGAAATATTACAAATATAATACATTTTTTACGATGCATAGATTTTTTTAAATAAATAAAATAAAATATAATTAATAGCTTATATAAAATCACCCAGCTTATTGTAGAATAGTATTGCATTCAATAATGATTTCTCAAATTCGGATAAATTAAATTTTAATTAGTCACTGAATAAAGAATGATAGTAATCCTTTGTGGATAAGTGAAAATTTAAAACATTAATTCTTTATTTTGAAATTGTATAATATGAGTATTTTTTATTTGGTCGCTAACATAATTGTAAATATATGCATACATAATAAAAACAATATATGTAGAAAATACATAGATATATACAGAAATTTTAGTCAGTGGAATTTTATTACATCAAATATAGTAGTATTCCTTACTATTTATTATCGTGTAACACCACAAGTAAAAAGGATATTCAAAGTAAAATTCAATACACGCAATTCTTCACTTGTATTACATTATTCTTAACAGTCGGAGAATATCTTGAAGATCATCTTTTTCTTCCTGCTTCAATATTGTTAAGGAATCTTTTGTATCTTATTTTTGATACTCACGTTACAGCAATGTTTACTAACTGTATTTTTCAACTAAAATGTATAAACTTAGGTGAATATAATGATACAGAAATAGTTATATTGATAGACAAATAGATAGAGAAAGACAGGAGAGAGAGAGAGAGAGAGAGAGAGAGAGAGAAGGAGAGAGAAATGGAACAGGAAAATTAAATGAAAAATTTTAATTATCGATAAGATTACAAGTTTATAAAATTTTATAGGAGTTGATCTTTGATAGAATATAATTATTTATCTCACAAGAAATAAATACAAATGAGAAATAGTCCTTAAATTTCTTATATATGTATTATTATTATAACGCTAACGTGTTTTTTTACATATGTAGAACTTTGGAAGTATTTTTTTTTTCACAATACCTTCTTTTGTGGTTATTTTTCTTTACTTACTTTTTCTTTCTATCTTCCACTTTCACTATCTTGTAAAGTACTGTTGCAAACTACAATAATTTTGCAGGGGTTTTGCATTTGAGGCTAAAACCTTTGAATAACATGACTAATCTGCCATATTTCATGCATTTATGCGTATAAACAAAGACGTAAGCCACTTGCTAACTAATACGTTGAATTATTACACTTTGTGTGCTACCACTACATAGTAATATATTTTTTTTATAATAAAATAGGTGAACAGTTCAGTAGTTAAAAGTGAGGCTAATTATTCTAAATTTTGGTATAAGTCTTATTACAATATTGGATGTTTAAGTTTTTTTATAAATTACAAAAATTTTATAGATTAAATTTAGAAGTTGTTAATTAAAGTTAAATTTTTTAACATTTAAATTCATTGAATTTTATGGTTTTTACACAATAATTAGGAATAAGAATGATTATTTAATGTTAACTTATAGGAAAAGTATATAAATTTAAATGATTCAGCATTATTCTATTTATCCGTATTTTCTTGTATTCATATGTTAGTTTTAAAATAAATTGAAAATATTTGTTAAATCCGTTTAAGCACAGAATCTAGTATACGTAAATCTAGAAATAGTGTAAATAACATCTTGCAATGGTTCAAGGCATTTATTCAAATGTTTTTTTTCTTATAAATCAAATTGCATTAAAAGATAATTATGAGATCATTGAATTCATATTATTTGTGAAGTAAAATTTAATAAAATTTCTATCTATATGTATGAAATTTAAAGTCTTTTTATCTACAGAGTTATTTAAAATTATTTAATTAATTATCACAAGCGTTTATAAAATTATAATTAATTACAACCGCAAAGTATGCTATTTTCATCATTATTGATACATGACAAATATATCAATTTGCTTCGGTTACAATTCTGCAAATTAATAATTCGAAAATTATAATGAAATATAAATCTAATAATTGATTTTACTAATTATCGCTGTACAGCTATGGAAACGCTCCTTCCGGCACTGATTATATATGAGATTAAATTAATTTAAACATTTCTATGTATTTCTTTTTCAAATGAATTTCATTGCGATAAACTCATGTACATATTTATTATTAAAATACTTGTAGGATTTAAATGAGCAATCAAATTAAATTTATTTAATAATAAAAGAAATTTGTAAATATTATTTGTCTTTTTCATCAGAATATTTATGAGCGGAAAACATATATATATATTAAATGAGTTTTAATTATCATAATCTGTGAATATGTAATACCGAAACTTTTTAGTTGTATTAAGTTGAAAATTTTGGATATAAATATTCCTAACATTAACTTTCATACGCATAGTAACAGGGTAATGTTAAATAAATTAATACTTAAGAAACTTTGAAATAATTAATAATAATAATATAACTACAAAAAGAACTTGAATAAGTAAAGTATTAATGTAGCGGTATAATTGGAAATAAGTATCAGTTTGACATGAACTTCAAATAAAAAAAAATTATTGTAAATCTGTCATTGGCTGTATAACAAAAGTATAACTGAATTTTGAAAAGTATGGTTTTGTTCAATTTTTTTTATAATATTTTCAATAGTGTAATTAATAATTATAGCAGAGTATAAAGCCTAAACTATATTTCAATTTTAAATACAGCGGATTGAATTTATAGAAAAAATTAAATATTAATCGGACATTTTATTAAAATTTATGTAAACTCTAATAATTAGTATATAAATTGTAATTAGTATATAAATTGATTTCAAATTATTCTATAAAACAATCAACAATAGTATTAATTAAAAAAAAAATTTTTAATTTTATATAGTTTTTGCCGATGTAAATGAATATTTGTAAAAATTATTTAAAGCTGCAATAATAAAAAAACAGTCTATATATTCATTTAATTGATTGCTAGTTCGTTACTTTATTGTACTAATGTATTAATATGTATTTGTTACAATTTGCATTTTAACTACAGAAACGAATTTTAACGATTGTAACAACCACTTTTTTTTATTTAAATATAAATTCAAAAATAAAACGATGCTTAGTAGCTTAATTATGCTATTAGTATTCTAAATAAGTTAATTCTTTATACAAATAATTATTATCTCTAATTTTTTATGGATTTTTTAATCGACTGTAAATTTAAAGATAAAATTGCAATTTAAACGAATTTAAATTATTTTACCTACGTTATTTTAATCGTGAATAACATTAATTTCTAAACAGCACTAATTTTTATTCTAGTGATTATTAAATGTTCTAGTATTATTTAGTAGAATATATTCTAGTAATAATTAAATGAATAATTCAATGATTAAATTTAATATTTTTACCGTATTAGCTTAAAAATATTTGCTAATTCGAATAACTAATCCTTGCTTAGAAAAAAAAAGAAAGAAGTAAGTGAATGAATGAATGTTATATAAAAAAATGGAGAAACAATGTATAAAATTTTATACTGTATAGTTAGTAATAACCTCTTATCATTCTTATTATATTTAACTCAATCAAATATAAAACGATTCTTCCAAAAATATTTGATAAATTATTTAAAATATCGAATATAAAATAAAAACTAAATAAATGCTGTTATTGCTTTTTTCATCAATAATTTTTATTATCCAAGCATATTTTTGTAGCTCAAATATTATTTTATAAATTAAATTTTATAAAATTTTCTATTAAGTAATTACTTAACTACTATTAATTATTAAAAACTTAAGTACATATATATGTAAACACTGCTAATATTCGATAATATTGAAGTAATTATTTCATTATAATATATAAAAAATAAGTAATGTAGAAAAAGTCATTATTGGATTGTTAATGAATTAATTTAGTAGTATAAATTATCTTGAATATTCCAATATATTTGAATAATACGTGTAAAATATTGTAAATAAGCGTAAAGAAAAATGTTATATTTAAATTACACTTGAATAATATTGATCTTAGTATTTATATTAATTTTAAAAACTTCTATATTTTTAGAGTATAACAGAAAATGTGTAGGAATTCATAATAATTATAAATTATCATAAGATGGATATGATATTTCTATTTATTACCATTCAATAGACGCCAGCGTGTTTATCGTAATTGCTCTAAAATCCATCTGACCATTTATCATTTAAGAATATTTCATAAATACTTACGGATTACGGATCAGGATATCGGTGCGATCAGACAAACAAGTTCCATTTACACTTACATAATTATTTGCACAGACACAAGTCACCTAATTAGCCGATTAAAGTGCTAAAGCCAATAATTATATTTACAAGATTTCGATGATTTTCTAGTTTTATCTTTAGTTGAAATTGATAGGCAATCAAATATACCAGATACCAAGTGCTCTGACTCGACTTCTCTACAGGTGAGTGGATGCTGATCTTTGTGCACTTCGCCCGGCGTTTCGGCTACGGCGGTACGCCAAAGTCGGTGAGCATCGCGTTGAGCAATGACACCGACATGTCAAGATCAATGAAATATGGCTGGGAGCTTCTACTGTCGGAGGCGCCATATCTCAGGCACTTTTCCATGGCGTGGATGGTTTCACTCATCATTTCCTACAGTATATACTTTAGCATCTGCAGCTTCTTTCACGTAAGATCTTTTTTCCAATTCAGTCTGTACATGTGAACAAAAGAGTTTTCACTTCGATACTCCTTTTCTCTTTCCTCTACTTCTTTATGCTCTTCGCCCTAGTATCGTTGCTTTCCCGTCTTTTCACTTTTTTCTCTCGTGCGCTTCGTATCTTCGCATCTTTTACCTTTACTCACTTTTAGCGTAACTGTAATAAGTAGAGTGCGTAGTAAGTTGAAGAGATAAGTGAATTGTAAAAAGGATAACACATGGTATCCTTATAGAAGGCAGAATTGTGTGTCAGTTTTTCTTTATCATATTACTTGTATTTAATACTTATATTACAAGTAATAATAGAGATCGAAATATAGAAAATAATTATACTCTGATAATAATTAATACCTCTAGTATCATAAACTTTTGGAATTTTTAGAAAGTTTTTAAAACAAGCTCATTAATAGTTGCAAATAAAAGTAGAGATATGCGCGTTCATTTTTCTCCTGTAATTAGATAATCGAAAAGTCTATTTCTCGGCCGCATTTTTTCTCTTTTCCTTAGACAGTTCTTGATCTTTCACTCACATCTTTCTACCTATATGTTTTTTTTTTTTATATAAGAGGTCTATGGTCAAGACTTATCGCCCCATTTTACTACTAACAGATGAGAATCCGTGCGCAGTATACGTGTTGTTTTTGGTTATTTTTTTTTGTTTTTTTTTTATTTTCATTTTTTTTATCGTGTCAGACTTAAATGCTTTTCTCATATAGTTTCGTTAATATTTGACAAATTTTTATCTCGGTTATCGTTTCATTGTGTCTGCACGTTTGTCCCCGTATGTAAAGAATATATATAAATATATATATATATATATATATATATATATATATATATATTAATCATTGCATACCAAATTAACCATAAAACTTTACAAATTAAATATAATAATATTTTGCTTTCATTAATTATATTGCTAAGCAATTACTTTATTCGTATTTTTTTACTCCATATAAAGAATTCTTTCAATAAAATAAATAAATGTAAATGTAATATAAAGTTATTTAGATTAATATTATATTATCTAAATCTTTGTAAAAAGAACTTTATCTATGTGTATGGCCTTCATTTTATACTTTTATAACGATAATATAAAAATATGTTATCATATTTTTAAAAATGATTAAATCTCAGATATATTTAAAAATTCAGATTCATACTGATAAAATATTTAGTAAAATTCAAATGAAAATGCAGTTGTGATTTTTTTTATTCATTTTTTAATAAGTAATACATATTTTTCGGTAAAATTATTGATGGAAACATTAATAATTATTTAAAAATATAAATTTTAATTAAATAATTGCACTTATATAATTTGTTGACTTCTACTCATACGTATATATGCTTAACGGTATAATTTTAAAAAAATTTGTAAATAAAAAAATTGATATAAAGAAGAATTGTATATAGCAGTAATTAACTATAATAATATATTTATTAAAACGCATGGAAATATTCCATACTTTAGTAAGAATTAGTTCATAATAATTAATGTGTCGAAAAATATTCATTAGTACTATTATTTTTAATCTTTGCAAACTCGATTGAAAATATGTTTGTATTTAAACAAATACTATCTCTTTCTGTTTATTTATTGGATAGATACAGATTTTTGTATTATATTGGCATTATAATGTATTCGAAAAATTAAATTAATGCCACCTTTTAAATCAGCCTCAAATAAGTATTAATATACTATGATTATGTTATTCAAATATTAATATATTTCCTATAAAATGTACCTAAGCATTATTGCACAACTGTGTATAAATTTATATATATATATATATATATATATATATATATATATATATGTATATACATAATGCAAATACATATTAAAGAATATATTTGTAATTTGTAATACAAAAAATGTAAACACTTATGTATGAATTTATGTGTACGTGTGGGTAAGTGTGTGTTTCCGTATTGGTGCATACATATTTATTATCTTATTATTTATTATGATTTGTTTATTATCTTATTTATTATTTATTTCATTATCCACATATTTATGAAACAATTCATACACTTATTATTACAGGTCGTTGTTATAAATGTTATAGAACTTAGTAAAATATAAATCATTGTGTTGAATAATTACAGTTTCATTTATCTGAGTTTTCCTGTCATTAGGCTCAACAAGTTGTATTGGAAGCTAAAAGCTTTCAACTCAAAAACAAGCTCTCCATGAATTTCTCATTACAAACTGTATTTAACAGAATATACAAGTGAATTATATATTTGCAATATATTCTGATTATTTATGTTTACGCCAGTCACTCGTTTTTCTTTAGAGTTACTTGCTCCCTTTGTAAATTAGCTTTTAAAATACAGTGTCTATTAAATGTAGGTGACAACGAATGTAGAATAAATATGCGACGAGGCCCAACAATGGCTATGGGCCATAGTTTGCACCTTTCCTCCCTACACTAATACAGAATGTAGAGGAAGAATTGCGATTCAACGCAGTTAAACAAACAACTGCTTACCCTATCATTTATTTCTCGACGTCATACCGTCTGTTCATGTATTCGCATGCGTGTGTCATTTGTACTTTTCAGCTTGTAATTACTCTGCAGAGCAAACTGAATGGCGTTGGTACATTCCGGTATATTGTTGCGCTCGGCGAATGTTCGTTGGATAATAGAACGTTTGTGAGGAATAACGAGGAATGAAGGAGGAGTGAAGTTAAATATGTGTATGTATAAATGTGGATTGATATGAGAGAGAGAGAGAGAGAGAGAGAGAGAGAGAGAGAGGAGAGGAAAATTGTTGAAAAGAAAAAAAAGACAGCCGATTAAACTATTTACAGCTCCTCCAATCGTTGTTGTCCTTTTGTTTTTCAGCATTTTTTCTATTTCATTTCTTTTCAAACTACCCTTCATCAGTCCTTTCTCATTCTGTTTCTCTGACATTCTCATGTAGTAAAAGAAAAACTACTGGAATAGACTGTAAATAATTTTTACAAATACGAGTCCTTTTCACGAATAAAATATATTCGACATTTATGAGGCATTGCATGTTATGCCTGTGGAGAAATTGAGAAGTGATCGATATTCTAGATGATTTTTTAGTCATATTAAATAAAGATGCAAACAGCTGTTTTTGAACACCATATAAAAAACTTCATTTGTATATGTAGACACGTAGTAAATCAAATTTTCAAATTTCTGTACTCGAAAAATTCATGGAATTTTATTTTTAGACATTTATGCGTGAGTTTCTAAAATATTATAGATTTTATTTTGATAATATTAATAGAAAAATGATTAGAATAAATATTGTAATTCTCGAACGTTTACTATGCGTTTTTTCTAATGATAAGTGCATTCATTCCGTAGAATATTAGTATGTGTATTTGAGCTCTACTTATTCTTATATACTTAATATACATTTTCTTAATATACGTTTTCTTTACTTAAGTTTTTGTTTAAACAATTGTCTAGTTTTACTTAAAAATAGTAGTATAATAAACGTATAATGTATTATTTTTTATGTTTAGTGGTACTATTACGTTCGACAACGTGATAAAGCTGAGGAATGGAAATGCCAGCCCTATAAGTGGCTTTCACCAAAACTTGAGAAACATGAAATAATTTTGGGTATATTTAGTCTATTTTGTACCAATACGTTCACAGCTGCTTTTGCTACTTACGTATTATATGGTGGTCCCAGCATGATTTATTTCGGATATGATGAATATACTTTGTTATGGTGGTTTCTGCAATGGCCGATTATGTATATAATATTGGTAAGTTCATTTCTTTTTATCTTTTGTTAATTTACAAATCAAACCTAATTCGAAAGCTAATTATAAATTACTATAAATATATAATCTTTATGAGGTACCTACTTGAAAATTTTTATTTATTGTATACAAAGGTTTTTTTTCTTTATATAATTATAATTTGAATTAATAATGGAAACCACAATAATATTTTTCAAATGATATTAAAAACTCAGTATCTGTTGCATAAAAATTTAGTGTATATTTATATTTAATGCAAATAAGTACATAATAGTTACTTAATATTTATTTCATAATTCATTTCACACAATTATAATTAAAAAAAAATTTAATTATAAAACAAAATAAAGCAGCATATTTTTATGTATATTACTAAATTTGAATCATTATAATAATTCTTCATTATACATTTTAATTTTAATAGTGTAATATTCAATTGAGTGTATTATGAATTCTTCAAATGTATTATACAATATTTAGTGTATATTGTCAACTGGTATCATAAAGTAAGTTAAATAAAAATAAGTATACCTTGGTGTAAAGAAGCCTATAATTTACAATCAAATTAAGAGATGAATAGATGCAACTTCTTCTTATTAACATGTAATACAATAAGACAATCCTACATTAAATATCATGAATCGCGTGATATTATAAAAATATATATTGAGAAAAATTGAGTATGAAAAAATTAAACAATTTTAATTTTGCAATTAATGAACTCAAGAATTAATATTTTTATTTCTGATTAGAAAATGATATGTAAAATAGATTTTTTTCATTAATCAATAAATTATTAATATATTGCATATATTATGCAATTTAAAATTTTTATTATGCAAATTATAATATACAAAGAAATATATACATATTTATATATATATATATATATATTGAATATATACTTATATATATATTTGCATTAATAATTTTTTATGATCATCATACTAATTAAATAAAATTAAATAAATTTTAATACTTGGAGTGTAATTCATTATCTTTACTATGTAAGAACTGATCATTACATCAGTTTTTAATGATAATGCAAGTGTAATTTATATATAGGCACACTCAAGCTCAAACACACTCAAACAACTCGAGGAAAATGAAATACCTATGTAAAAAGTACTGAGCATGAATGGATAAGATTAATTCAGATATCTTATAACACTTGATTCTTTTTACCTAAAATATTATTTAAAAATTTGATTTTCAAATAAAAATATAATATAAAGTATACTTTTATAATAAATCTTTATACAAATAAAAATAATAAACAAAGAATCAAAGTAATATATATTGTAGAAAAAACAAAAATATATATATATATATTACTTTGATTCTTTGTTTATTATTTTTATTTGTATAAAGATTTATTATAAAAGTATACTTTATATTATATTTTTATTTGAAAATCAAATTTTTAAATAATATTTTAGGTAAAAAGAATCAAGTGTTATAAGATATCTGAATTAATCTTATAACAATAATAATTTAATAAATTAATTAAAATAATAATACTTTCCTTCATACTTTTTACTGTAATACAATAATAATAATTAATTGTACAATGCATCCGAGGAATGCGTAATTTATAATTAAATATATGATTTGTTTCATAGTCATGTATTATGCGTATGTGTATAAGGAGTGATAGATAGTTTTAATTGTTGCAAAAGTTGTAGCTGACTTGAAAAGTTTGTAATAGTATATTTAAATGTTAATAGTAGAATTTCACCTTAAATCTATCATCAGTCTTCTTATAGTTCTTATCATAATAATAAAAGCGATAGATGATTTAATTAGAGTACAGTAAAAGGTTAATAATTATGTATTTACTTTCAGATAAAAGAATATAATACTTATTTGCTTTTTACTTCTCTTAAACAGTGAGAATTATAATAATATTAAAAAATATTAATGTCGTAATTGAATTAAAGTATTATTTAAAGAATTGAAAATTAAATTATTATAATTAAAATTCATATCACTTTTATTTGTATCGTATTTCAGTTAGATATTAGTAATGATAATAGTAATTTATAAATTGTTTTATTTATTTGTATTGATAATTAATAAGATCATATTACCACATTATTACCACATTTTTCCCATTAATGTTTATGTATCTTTATCTATATTTTTGTATAAGACAAAAACAGATGTATTATTTTTTATTATCATCTGATGAACTTTAAAATTTATTTTTTATTAATTATATATTAGAATTAAATAAAAATTTAATAGTGACTAATCTTAAATAAATTTTTTTTGTATATAATGTATAGGAATCAAAAATCATTTTTATTATATATATTTGAATATTAAAATATTTAAACAATTTTCATTCTTTGGCTTATAAAGTGGTGGAAGGAAAATCATAGCTTTTAGATTTAGAATTCTGTAATTAAATGTAATATAAGTTAAATCACTGTTTTATGGCAATTAAAATAAAATATTTATTATTTTTTTTTAAGAAAATAAAAATGTATCGTTATGAAAAAAATAAGATAGAAGTCTTTATTTTACTTACGTAAAACTTCGTTAATAAATTGATTCGTATAATCCATGGTTCTAATATATTATATAGTTAATAGTATATAATATTTGTTTAACTATGAAATAATAAAACAATGATTAATAATATGATTTTATTATCATTATTTAAAAATTTATTTCAAATGAATACATTTTAACTATATATAAAATTAGTTTTCACGAATTTTCAAATAGTAGTGATACTTATATTATATTGAATAATATAAATATATTCCATTCATTCTAATATGAATGGCTTGAGTACTGTATTATCAATAATAATAATATAAAAAGATATACTTTGTTGTAGATTTGTAGTATAATTCAATTTTTTTAATTTGGTTCTCGTTAATCGTATATATTTTGAAATATATTTTGAATTGAAGTGCTTAGAATGTAATTCTAATTAATTATATATAAAAAAATTATTATATACATCTAGTTTAAGTGAAAAAATTTGTATGTGACCAATAATTTTTTTTCTATTTTGAAAAAGTTTTAAATAATTTCTTCTCAAGATACTAGTGATCATGTATAATATTGAATTATGATCAATTCCACAATAATAGCGTCAAACCAAGATATTTAAATTAGATATTCATTTGATTTATTACAAAAGTGTTCTAAGACGCCATATTTTAACTTACGTTTCTATTGTACGATAATTCGATTAATTCGCTAAAATATTCAAAACTAATAGCACTTTTATGAGTAAACATATGCATAAGTACAATATTGACTCGCTATTTGTACAATTACCGTTGCTTCGAACTGATGATTTTTATGAAAAGTTGAAAAAAATAATTGACATATTATATATTGAAAAGTGAAGCATTTATTACAAATTATATAATCTTTATTAGAATTCATAAGTTTATATGCATATAGTAATCGTTTGTTTTTTTATCATTTTATCAGATTTACAGTTTGTTTGCAATGTACAATTATTCTCGGAAAACAATTAAAGGTGCTCTGATAAATTAATTAAAAAGTAAGATTTCGCATTGGTTTAGTTTTATATAAAAATACATAATAAATTATATAAATCTTTAGTGTCTTGTATAAAATTAAATTTACATTATTTACATTTGTTAAAGTGATATTAATTCATTACTGATTATCTAAAATGATATAAATGTATAATTTCAAGTAATTTTAACTCGAATGCTCAACCTATTGAATATTTATTTAGAACTTGAAAACTGATTCTAAAGATTTGGAAATTTTATTCACTTAAAATTTTTTATTAGTCTTTTTATTTGTCTATTCTATTGAATATATAATAAATATAATGTTTACTTAATTTCTGAAACCATATTGTTGTCATTAAATATAACAATTGTTTTATTTTATTTCCCAAATACGTTTTTGCTATTATATAAAAGCAATCGTTTAAATTAGCAATAATCTATTTAATTAGTACTGCTATTTATAGAATTATATATAGAAGAATTGCGTATTTCTAAAACTATATAGTCGATATAGTAACTAACTATAAGTCGTACTAGTAAATATTCAACATATCATAGTTTATTCAGTATTTTATATTATTGTTAATTTAGAAAAATTAAAAAATTATTATAATTATTATATACTTAGATTTTCAAAAAGCTTGATAGGAATTTGTTTTAAGTTAGAAATAATGAGTTATTAAAAATATTTGAATGCATTAAAAACAAATTTAGTAGAATTTACTCAAAGCGTAAACAAATTTTTTTTAGCATCAAATCATAAACAGGTGAAATTATCAACTGGTTATGTTAATAATTGGGAAATATTATAAAAGGGAGCACGCTTGAGTAACTAAAGCATAACTCGAATGGATTTACTCAGTAAATATTTTTTCAGTTAGGAGGGATCGAATATAAGGTGGGGGAGTGGGTTGCAATCGTTGTTAGCAGGCGTTAAGTCAATGGCCCACGAGCATCGCAAACATACTTAGACGTGGAAGCGCGACCGCCATACCTTCAAGTCAGTCAGTCAATCGATCAGTCAGTCAGTCAGTCGGTCGGTGAACCACTTGAACGGGCCTCTTGAAAATCGCAAAACTCCTGTCGTAACTCAGCACGAGCCCCTCTGGCACCGCTGTTTAACGTATTCCAAAGAGAAGGTGGCTTCTATTCGTAATCCAAGCATCGGCTCCGACTCCCCCCCCCCCGAACGCCCATCTCGTAGTTTTAGTATCGCTTTGGCTGCCTCGCGTCTTTCAGCTCATCCTTACTGTCTTGTCTTTTTCTCTTTTTCTTTTGTTTTTTTTAAATATATACGTAAAAGTATTTTCACTAATTTACGATAAATTGTTAATTTGTATGTATAAATAATGTACATAAAATTTCATGATAAATCCTTTACGTATTAAATATAAATTTTTCTTTTTTTCAACTTTTACCAATGAAACGGTATATAAATGCATATAATATTAATGCATATTAATGATAATTATTATTAAAAAATATTTTACAAAA